GTTAGAAAGAGCATTGCAGTTTAGCAAAAACTCTTAAACTCCATTAACACTTGGATTTTGGTCGGACCTTCCTAACTCCAAGGTAGCGGACCTAAAAAGTCGGTGTTCGTCCTTTGTGGGTGGATACCGTTGGAGGCTCGGTATTTCCGGAGCTAAAGCTTTCAAGTAAGAGCCCATTGGGTCGGGCGAAGCACTCGTCAAAGGTAAATTCCGATTTTATCCTTTTATGTTTATTTATGCTTTATGGTTTTATTAATTGCGAGTGGTTCTTTGGGTCAGGGTCGTTTCAGCGGTAAGTTGGACTTACCAAACTCCAACAGCAATATTGGAGCCGCGCTCGTTTATTTTTAAAATCATAATATTTTTTCAAGGTGATTTTTATGGCTTAATTTTCTGGTCTTGAAGTGCTAATTAGGTTAGTAACTCGTTTAATTTATTTTAACCTCGTATTTAAGCTACCTTCAGCCCCGAACCCAGATTTCGACCCAAAAATAGTGAATTTTGGGTGGAAAAGGCGTTCTGGAAATGGTTTTTCCCTTTAGGACTCGGCTTTTAGCCAAAAAAACGACCAGAAATGCAATTTTTGAGGGTTTTTTCGTTTTTACGAAAAATTTTAAGTCTTTCTATTGCATATTTATGGTGGTTATGTAACTGGTTCAATACATATTTTATATGCAATTTTAAACCTCTTTAGGCATGATTACTTGGTGGTAATTTGTGTTTGAAAGCTTGGTTTTATTTTTCAAATAATTGCAAACTAATTGCATTAAGTGTGAAATTATTTTTCTTTGAGGCTTCCAAGTATTAAAGATTCAATCTTTAATTATGTTAAGTGATTGAAACTTTATATTACTAAATTCCATGAATTGTTGTTAAACCTTGTTGATTTAATCAGTTTTTAGTTGATTGGAATCATAAAGTTTGAAACTTTGTGATAGAAAATTATTTATCTTCACATTGGAAGATATAATTTTTTCAAGGATTCACAAGTATTAAAGTTGGAATCTTTATTGAACTTATGTTCATCTTTTCCAACTCCCTTTTATTTTGTCAAAAACTCAAGATTAATTTAAACTAATTAAATTAATAGTGAGTAATTGCTCTCTTATTATTTTTGTTGCACCAAGTTAAACCAATTTAATTTTCAAAGTGCATCTAACCAAAATTGGTTTAACCACTTTGAAAATTTTATTTTAAGTTAGACTTATTTAAATTTTCATTTTTGCTCAATGAATTAATTCTAAAGTTAATTAGAATTGATTAGAGATGTCAAACAAAATCAGGAATTAATCCCGAGGCACAAGCACGTAAACCAAGGCATAATATCCATGTGCATCCCTTGGCCAGCTGGGCAGCTCGCACAGCCCGCATGTGGCTGCCGAGAGACGAGGTTGCTACTCTTGGTGCGTGTGGTGCTAGGTGTGTGCGAAGAGCTGTGTGTTGACTTGGTGCATAAGGGGCGTGCGAGATGATGCTAGGCGTAGCAGCAATGCTAGGCGTAGCAGCAATGCTAGGCAGCTGCAGCTAGACGCGCATCGAGTGTGCGCTGCCAAGCAGCGCCCAGCAGTATCACAGCACGCAAGGCCGAGGCTGGTAGGCAAGCGCTCAGCACTTGCGTGTGTGTGAGTGCTCAAGGCTGCTAGCTTTGGGTAGTCGATGCGTTTTTTCTCTCGTTTTAATTTTGCTTTTTGGCCGTTTTGTTTATTTTAATTTATTTTATTATTTTAATTAAAATTTTGGAGGCTAGGCCTCGGGTTTTGAGCGTCATTGGCAAAATTTATTTTTACAAATTTTGGGTTTTACTGGCTTAATTAATTGGATTAATTAAGTTGGATGTGAAATTTAGTGGGAGCTTCAAATACTAATTGCTCTTATTTACATAATCGGTTAAAACAACTTTGACTAGTCTTAATTAGGCGTGTTAATTGGATTAACCACCTAGATTAGTTACTAGTGTGGGCATGTGTTTTATGCATTGTTACTTGTTTATCGTTGTAAAATGCATGGGCCTCACAGATAGTGAATGGACGAATGGAATGTATATTCTCTCACAGGTTTTATGAAATGACAACTAGGGGGCCCGATTAGGATAGAAAATACGGACTGCGATCCGTGATGTATTTTTTGTAAATCTAAATACGGTCTGCGTACCGTTGAGTATTTTTGTACCTTAATATTTAGATTAGTCCAAATCGTAGATACTAGTAGTTGTATTTAATTATGGTCAAGTCTTGAAGATGGAGGTTCTTGGAAGACGTAGCCATGAAAGTTGCAATTTTGACAAGCTATTTTATTATAACCCCTAAATCTTTTCTTGGCGGCTATCTGGGTGTGTTTTTTAATTCTGCAAAATTTAGTAAGGATAATTCCCAGCACATCTTTACTAAAGAAGATACCAAAAAAAGAACTCCTAGTCTTCCAACTTAGTCTCCAAAGCTAGTAAGGTTGTTCTTATCCAGAGCCACCTTGAGGCCATTCCTTCTTATGCCATGGCCACTGCTCGTCTACCTTCTTCTATTACTTCGTCTCTTGATAGTTTGAATAGAAAATGTTTTTGGAGACAATCCTCGATAAAAAACAGGTTTACCTATAGTTGCTTGGGATACTATTTGTCAACAAATCCAATGGAGCTCTTGGTCTTTGCAAATCGGATGCTATCAACTCGGCTTTCTTAGCTAAACTTGGGTGAAAAATTATGTCGGGCTCGTCTAACTTATGGGTCCAATATATTACTGCTAAGTATCTACGTAAATCCCACTTCCTTACATACCATACTCAACCTCGAGATTCTTGGATTTGGGAAAAGATTCTCCAAATACGCCCTCTTCTTATTAGGGTCTCTGCTGGAAGGTGGGAAATGGTACTTCTATCTTGTTCAAGGTTGATATTTGGTGTGCCCACACTAACCTTATCGCCTTTCTCAATTTGGACCCTGATCAACTTCCGAATATTGATATCGATGTTGATATGTTCATCACGGAGAATAATACATGGGACGTCCCTCTTCTCCTTTCGGTTCTCCCTAATGACATAGTTCAATCTATTATAGGAATCCCCCTTCCCTCCTCCCCTATTCCTGATGAACCTTGTTGGGGTCTTTCTAAAGATGGCCAGTTCATGGTGAAATATGCTACATGGCTAGCTCATTCTCTTGTTCATCCTTCTTCTAAATGGGAGTTTCAGTGGATTTGGAATTTAGTTATTCCACCTAAGATTAAGATATTTCTTTGGCTAATCCTTCATAAAAGTCTCCCTACTCGTCATACTTTATCTTCGCATAATATTGATGTAGCTAGATTTTGTGTTCTTTGTTCTAATCATTCTAAAACCCAGAATCATCTTCTCCTCTCTTGTCCATTTTCTATTAGTATTTGGTATTCTTCTTCTGTCCTTAATTGGTTGGGCCGCATCCCACCGATTACTCAGTTCCATGATTTATTTCGCTCCTTGAAGACCAATTTACCTAGGCTCCTTCCTAAGTTTGCTATTTTACTTTGGAGTATATTTGGAAGCATCGAAATGCAGTTATTTTAAGAACTATCCTGCCATATTCATAGTATCTTCATCCGCGCTTTCTCTATGTTTAAGGAATGGGAATCTCAATCCATTGTTGATGCCATACACTTACCTGTTACACCTCACCCTCTGTCTCCCCCGTCTACCCCTTCTCCTTTTGTCTCGTGGTCTCCTCCCCCATTTGGTTTTTGTAAACATAATTTTGATGGTTCTGCTTCGACTTTTGCAACTGCAGGTGTTGTCATTCAGGAGGATCACCAGGGTAATTATGTGGTCAGGCAAACTTATAATTTGGTCTCCTGCCCGGCCTTCCTTGCTGAAGTTATTGCCCTCCGCAATGGCCTCCTTTCTAAGGAATTTAATATTTTGACATTTATATTGAAGGTGATAACCTAACTGTTATTAATATTTTGCGAGGTCATTTCAGTTATTCATGGAAACTTCATATTCTTATGGCGGATGTCAATGCCATCTTGGTTTTTTTTTTCGAGCTTCCAGGCAAGGCACATTTATCGGGAAGGAAACCGGGCAACATACTATGTTGCCTCGGCTATTCGACTCCGACTCATCAAGATAAAGTCCCTTTTTTAGATAGCAAATTTTCTTATATTTTACTCTTAGATAGTTTAGATCACGGTCTTGTGAAAAGACGTACTTAAACTTTTCATTGTATCTTAATTTTAAAAAAATGTTTAGGAACCTCCTCTCAACCCTTACTCATCCCTAACGTCTCAAGAATATCAGACAAATCATTCACCTTTACTAATGTCGTAGCCACCACTCACCTCACCAAATTCACCACCCATCTCCACCAAAGCACTACCAACGTCCACTGCTCTATTAAACCCAACACCAACCTCACTGAAACCACTAATCACTTTCATCACTCACTCACCTCCACTGCTCTCTCTGAAACCATTATTAACCCCATCGAAACCCAAAAACTCAACCACCACCACTAAATTGAACAAAATCCACCAGTCTACCACTGTCGTTTTTCCGACAAATTGAGAAGAAGTGCCAAATTCAACCCATAGTTAATTTAGTTTGATGTTTGATCATCTCCTAGGGGTTGAATTATTCCTTGGTTCTCCCTCATGTTGTGTTATCAAGGATAGATTCTTGATTTGTCTCTTCTCTTTAATTCCTGAATTTTCTTTCTTCTTTTGTACTTGTAGTTGAACAGTTAGACGGTGTCAATTTTTTTCTAATGATTTCGAGGTAGTGGTCGAGGGCTCGAGGCAATGGTGGAGGTAGCGTTGTAGTGGTTGTAATGGTTGTAGAGCTGGCTCCTATGGTAGTAGAGGAGGTGGTTGTGTCTGTTAATGGATATGTAATTGACGGGGTGGAGGTGGGTAACTAAACGGATTTATTTATAAAGATTAAGTAAATATGTGCAAAAACATGTAACACGAAATAAAATAGAGGAAGTAATAATGATTTAATAAAAAAAAATATATAAAGAAAAATAAAAACAAAAGAAAGAAAGAAAAACATAATCGACTAATGCTAGAACTAGAAGGATAATCACATTTCACAACATTTACAACCGCCCAACTCCAAGAGTCCTCCCACTGTTACAGTGTTACCTTCCCCACCCCAATAAAATAAAAGAAAAAATAAAGAGAAGAAAACCCATCCCTCAGGAAAAAATAAAAATAAAAAAAATAAATAAATAAATAAAAGTCAATAGAAAGTGAAAAATGAAAAAATGAGCGCGAACTAATTGGCCTAAGAACACAAGTTTAGTAGCAAATCAAAGCTTCAGATACAATACAACTTGAGCCTGTAAGTTGGGGAAGAACACAAAACAGAAGCGAAAACACCTGTTGCAGCACTGAGCAGGCCAAACAGAAGGACAAAATGGCATCATAGATCCCTTCAAAGATGATCAGTTAGAACTGGATCATGGTAGGCTCTGTAGCCCAGAAAAGGTTACCACAGGTACTTCAGTGGAAGACCTGCTCGTCATTAGACCCAGCCGTTTTACTATTCTAAGACGATATTGGTTCATATGGGTAAGACAGCCAAGGGTGCTTCAATGCATCAAATGCAGATGGACGCTTTCTTGGGTTTATTTCAAGTAAATGCGCAACGAAGTCTATGAAGCCTTGATCTCCCATTGGTAGTCGATGCCTTAAGGATGTCTTCTTCGGAATCAAATATTCCAGTCTGCTTGTTTCCTGAAAAGGAACATGTGTCTACTGGTAAACCAAAGCTCTATTTCAACTAACATATCCATTAACGAAAATGTCAAAGAAATAAAAATAATCTGGCCACTATGATATAACACAATAAGCCCTTGTCCAAGTTTGTGGTACCTTGGACATCAGATCAAACAGTCTAATAAAAGCTTACGCCCAATAAGCTCGAATCACAATCATCAGGAATTGATTAAACAATGTCAAAAAGGTTAAAAGATTGTTTACTTAGAGATTCTTTTTAAAGTTTATTTTCCCATTTATGCTAAATGATATTGAAAACTTTGATGACTATTTGAAAAAAACAGAATACACCATGGTCTATCCCACAAAGTTTGAAGATACAGAGTATTTCAGAAACCTGCTGGTGCGCCGCAAACTTATAAGAATGGAACATTCAAGAGGTAAATAGTGAAAACACAACCAAAATTCCATGGCAAATAACTGAAAACTTTGAAACATAAAACAGATTTTCATGCCTAACTTGATTCAAGTTTAAAAGAGAGTTTAAAATGATGATGAAGCAAATAATTATAAGATAGAACAAAAATTATTTACTTTTGCCTGGATATCAAAGGTAATCTAGACTCGACTCTAGATTTCTTTGTGACACGAATGTTTTTATAAATGCCTAAAATCCAACTATTTCAAAGTTAAGAACTTGCTCAAGACAACAAATTAGATATTTGTATATACCAGGCTGTAATAGATCAACCTAAGGAAGGGTAGTATAGGTATTCTACTAATATTAGCTCACTAGGTTAATAGTCCTTAGTATAAATAAAGAGGGAAGGAAAGGAAATAGATAGGCAAAAATTGGATGAAACTTGTTGAGAGTTGTGACCTCAAGTCACTTGCAGAGTGGTAACCTAAAGTTACCGATTGGGAGAGAATCAAGCCTCTCGAAAGCTTGATAATCTATCTTACGAGTAGTTTGTTTAGTGTGTTAGTGTGTGTAATTTCATCTCATCAATTATAATATTTCACATTTAGCTTTTATTATTCCTTCTTTAATCTGCAATTTTCTGCCATTAGTTACTGTTTAATACCTAGCCATGTCGGTACATGACACAGGCTCACAAAGAGGACATTGTAGTAGAAACATGCATTATTAAATGGCATTTCCACTTTGGATTTTGTATCTTAAGGATAAAGCAAAACAATTACTTACCTGGTTTCGTTCATAAAGCATGTGATTCTTGGTAAAATATTTGTATGTATCTCTTCCCTTAGCAAGCATGTCTTGGTCAATGGGGCCAATGATCCCAATAACCCGAACAAGTAATGTTGCTGGAGAATCGTTTTGGAAAAGGACCTATAAGACAATTTTCATTAGTAAAAACTCTGCTAAATCTAGAAGATTTTATCCCAATACAAAAACATGCAAAAAAGATTAAAGCTAAAACAAATTTACTAAGAATCTTAAATCTTTAAACACATGTACTATCCTTCAAGGTAAAATAATAATAGATAGAGCTTGAGAGAGTAGTATAGAAAGGTCATCAGAAAAACTGAAAGACAGTATAAAAATTTTTATAATAATAAAAATAAGGACGCCAGGAACACTGCTCTAGCTGGTTGATGTTCTTCTTTACCAAAAGAAGCCTCGACTTTAATGCAAGGACCCTTTCAAAAAAAAAAAAAAAAAAAAAAAAAAAAAAAAAAAAAAAAAACTTTAATGCAAGGTCTGCATTTCCATACTATGATTTCATGATAGTGGTGGTTTCAAGCTCTTTAAAGTAGAATGACTCGGCTTGACAAATTTTGGCATAATATAATTCTTTGGAGTTTTTTATTTTTTATTTTTTTTTTGAGAAAAGTTCTTTGGAGTATTTAGAGCATTAACAGAATACAGTGTTGGCTACAACCAAAAATAAACATTGCAATTGTTATTATTGGACCATGAGTTTATAGATGATCCTAGAAAGTCTCGTTATCAAGTCAGCAGTGATAACACTAAGTGCACATATAACTGACTACAACAGGCATTAAGAAGAAGATGACATGATTATATAAATGAAATGCTTATTTGATCTTATTTTAGTTGTGAACTAGGTTAGCCCTGTGGCATAGCATTAAAATAGTATTTTATTTTTTATCCAAAGAGGGTAGTCATTACTTTTTAAAAGTTTTCAATCTTGGAACATGGAAAAATATATATATAGGGATAGAAAAAGATGTCCAGAGTTGTTTAGGCAGGAAAATTTTATGAGAAATTGACACATGTCGACCAATAATGTCAAGAATGGCTGAGAGTTATCAATTGAACTTGCGCAGCCTCATACAAACTTAATGGAACTTAAATGAACTTGTATTTCTAGATTCTTATTTTAAGATGAACAGAGCAAAGCCAAAGTAACATAATGATCATATAGTATAAACACCAACTATTGCATATATGTAACCATAATAATTATGTCAGCAAAGTAAAACAGATTCAACACCCTGGGAACTTACATTGCCTGTGCAAAGTTCTGCCAAGATGCAACCGAGAGACCATACGTCTATTTTTTTGTCATACGGCAAGCCTAATATGACCTCTGGCGCTCGGTATGACCTCGACTGAACATATGAGCATAAATGATCTGTTTCAAAACAGCTGCTTCCCAGATCGATAACTTTCACTTCACATCTGCTATAGCTTTTAACTAGAATATTCTCAGGCTTCAAGTCACAATGTATTAATCCAAGGCCATGCAAGAACTGAAGAGCCTCCAAAACTTGAATTGTTATTGACTGCATAAATGAGAATTATAATATTAAAAGAGCTCCAAATCATGCTACAAAAACGTAACACCACAAAATAGCACTCGCTCAACCTGCAATCTTGGCATAGTAAAATAGACCTCCCCACCAGATTCTCTGTTAAACTTGTGAAACTCGTACAAGTTTGCCTTGAGTAGTTCACAAACAATTAACAAATGTTCCTGCAACAACAAATTATTTTGTTAGCTCGTACTATTTATAAAGCAAGAAACTGGAGACCTTAATATCAAACTTGAATTTGGCAGGTTACACTGTTTTTGAAATTATTGGAGAAACTCTAGTGAATATTGACATAGGTATATGGACATTCAGTTTGAAGGCCAAATAAACAAGGCAGAAAGCACAGGTTATGTTCTACAAACACCACCACTGAAAAACATGTCAAAGACTAAAAGAAACATATTATTATACTACGTATTAAGCAACCTGATAAATATGTTGTGCATTAGAAAACTTGTTTCAAAGAATTAGTGGCTACAAGGTGATGGTGGAAAGGAAAGTGGAAGGGAAGGCATAGGGATGTACCAGTTGGTTAAAGAGTTTATAAATATCGTACTTCCTAAGAAATGCTTGTACTTTGGATGTATAGAAAGGTTAAAGTGTTGCCATGTGTACTTCTCCCAACTACCTTATCAGCATCAAACTTTGTCCCAACTCAACATGCTTTATACACTGGCTGTCAACTCACCCTAACTATACACCACAGAACAGCTGCACTGATTACTCTGCAACCAAGCTCCATTACAATGTTGAATATATGATCATCTGGACTCATGAAGAAGAAAGGAGAAGGTAGGCAAAAGAAGATTTCTAGAATGCACCCTCATATCTAAGCATAAATGGTAAAATAAACAAGTGAAATTTTTTGGAATTTAAACATTATATTGCACCAAAATCACCTCACATTCAGAATTCACGCATTGGAAGCTAGTAAGCAAAGCCCTAATGATTTTTTCCTTTGTTCACTACTTTACTCCATTATAGCCTCTCTTGTTGTACTATTAACTAATATGTCTCCCTTCTGCTCAGTAATTAATCATTTACTTCTTCTTTATCCTTCAATTGTTTTATCCTTCAATTGTTACAATTTCGCAATAGATATCAAAAAAGCCTAATGAATTACACATTTATCAGTTGGTAACATTGTAGTAGATAGAACGGAATAATTTGAAAAAAATATGCATTAAAAAAAAATATTATAATAAATAAGTATATAATAAATAAAAAGAGTTCCTTTAGGACTAAGTTTCGGTCCGTCATGGACATCCACTTCCTGAATAAAATAACAGATTCAGCCTGTAAATAACCTGAGTAAAATACCAGATCTGACTAATAAATTTCCACCTCTAGTTATACAGCCACTAGTCTTGGAGGGCATAAATTAAGCCAATAACCACTATATGTACTTGCTGATCACTTTGCTTTTTGGGCCAATATGGGGGTATAGAGAATTACAGAAAAGACCAGAATGGAGAAAAACAAAGAAGAATGTGCTCAATTAAGGGAAACTGCTACCTAGTAAACTTGACCTGTTGAAAATGCCTAAAAAGGGAGGGCTATGTTCCATAATCTGAAGGTTAATTGTCACAAAACTACTAAATCATTGAAGTACTGAAATTCTCAGGAGCAACTTTTGACATGACTTGGAGAACAGACTAAAGCCAAAGATTCAGACAAAGGATGGTCATAATCCTTCTACCCATGGTTAGTCATTGTTTTCTTAGAAGAGGGTCCTCTGGGACTGTAGACAATTTAGAGAAAGAATTGAATCAACAGAAGGCACAAGGCCCAAAATCGCAGCTGCAATAATCATCCAACAGTTCCAACCTAGTGTAACTGTAAGCCAAAAATTGAATCAACAAAAGAAGGAACAAAGCTTGAAATCGCAACTGCAATAATCATCCAACCTAGTGTTACTGTACAGTAAGGCTTGAACCCTTTTTGTTGATACATTTTAAAGCTCCACTTGCTTACTTTATATTAGTTGGTAATTTTTTTTCTATATTCCCTTCTATACAAAATCAACATTAAATGGCAGACCGAATTAAATTTCCATGTGCAAGAATAACTTTGTTTTTCTGTTTTCTGACTCTACATATCTAAAGTTTAGGAAACTTAATATGTTAATGATCTAGTTCTGTCCTGGTTTATGTGCCAATCCAAATTCAATTCAGTCCATATTTTGCTTTGCATAATTTTGTTTACAATCTCATTAGGTATAGCTTGAAATAAAAATAAAGGTAGCACGGGTATAAGTATTAAAATGTATGGTAAAGGAAAAACAGTAATCACACCCAGATAAAATGACAAAAGGGATGAATGCCGAATACGTCATGGAAAACGATAAAAAGTGGAAAGGAAATAATAAAAGAACAAAGGAAGGTACTATAATAAGATTAGTAACTTACACGGTAGTAGAAATAATCGTACAACCGAAGTAGGTGGTACTTGTCAGCAGGATCATGTTTGTTTACATACTTGAGAAGCTTTATCTCATCAAGACTCTGGTCAAAAAAATCCTTATTGTTCTTGATAATCTTAACACAAACATCCATGCCTGTGTGCAGGTCATGTGCTTGAATAGCTTTACTGAATGCAGCTGATCCTAGATACTCAGTAACATGGTAGCGCCCTGCTATGACTGAATTTAATACTACATGAAAATTTTTGTCCTCTTCAAAGCCAGTTCTGGGGAAAGAGAGCAAGTCCAGGCACACCAAAGTCAAAAGCACGAAACATTGTACAGAAGTTAAACGTTTGAGAGTTATAAATGCTAAAGAAACTTTTATTGCAAGCGACAAGAGACTTTGACTTCACAGACAAGTCAGTGAAGGGCAGCAAAAGTAATGAAAAATTGCGCCAAAATGCATTGTATTATTCAATACGTAGATTAGCATACAATAATTATAGACCAAGAAAACTATTACATGCTTAATAAGATTATTTCATAGGACTCATGTCTAAGCAGTCAGAACAGCTAATTTTCTTTGGCTTTATTTTTTTTAGTTTATTTTTCTTTTTTAAAAAATCAATTTTAGTAAGCAAGGTTCAGTAATAACTAATCACCATCTCTTGACGGTACCAGAATGATAAAATAAAGGCAGTTAACCACCACAGGAACCAACCAAACGTGACCACGTCAACCTAATACAACCCCACACAAAGGCACTACTACCCTCACCAACACGCTATTAACCAGTTCCACCAAAATCAGCTATACATAAACTATGCAGGCTAAACCCATACTGAATGCACAATCTCTTCCTCCCCCCCCCCCCCCCCAACACACACACACAACGTGACAACAACGCTTTCTGGTAGGTTTTATCTCATATCTTAACTTATTCAGTTGACATATGATAAAGAACATTAAATTAACTTCTAAACTATAGATTATCACAAGTATAGAGCTCCCCAAAACTACCAACCCAGAAAAGGCCTTTCATTCTCTTCAGAAACTTAGCCTTCCAAAAGAAAGTAGACTAAGGAAAGGATGATGAATAAGCAATTATCAAAGGTGTTTATAAAGGGAGCAACAGGAAAAAGATCCTGACAAATCCGCCTACCACACACAAGGGAATCAGAGACACAAACAGAATCAAAGATACCCGTCAAAATAGTAAGTTCCTCCCTACTCCCTATCATGAGGCAACCTCCTAAAATGCAAATTCCAAATTAGATTATCACCATTACAAACCCTAAAGAAAGAAACAGGAGTAAGATGAGCAGAAAATATTCTACAAAGAGAGAATGGCTGCTAGACCTGAGACCAATTTTGATAAGTACTTTATATAAAACTAACTTGCAACTACAAAAAATAATAAATAAAAAAAATAGAATTAATAGTAAAAAGTAAAAACCATAAAAGTTATCCGGACATATGATGTGGATGGAAAGAGTATGTGTTATTAGCTTATCACGACGACATAAGTTCCAATGGAAAAAATTTAGTCCATCTCAGATCAGCATTTTTGAATTCAGGCTAGCAAAAAAAAATTGATGCAACAAGAACACTTCCTGCACCAAGATCGCATAGAATGGTTTGTCTAGAAAAAGTAAACAGAATGGAAGAGTCCTATATCAATAAAGGGGCTCCACTGCTATTCTCTCACTCTCACAATTTCTGCCAAAAGCCATGTCTGACCAACCTTCTGAGGTTTGTTCAAATCTTCTTGTCAACATACCTCTAAATCACTCATTTCTTGACACTGAGAAAATTATCTGACATCAAATTTACCAAAGGTTCACCACTCACCATTATGGTTTTGACCATGCACTATGCGCAATTCCTTTTCACTTTTAACTACTCCCTCCGTTCCCTTTTGTTTTTGACGTTTGGAATTATGCGCGGTGATTAAGAAATTGTGTAAAGTAGAGGTTTATTGGAATAATTCAATGATTGAAAGTACAATTATATTTTAAAAAAGAATATTGTACATGTGGGGTGAAGAAAGTAAGAAGGAAAAAGAAGAGAGAGGAGAGAGAAAGTAATAATAAGTATTAGAAAACCATAAAAATAATACTAAAAGTACAAATGCACATGAAAAAGTAAGGATATTTGGGTATTTAAATTATAAAGCAAGGGTAATTTTGTCTAAAATTTATGACTAAAAAAGGAAAGATACTAAAGGTAAAGAATAAAAAAGAACACCTAAAATGGAAACGTAAAGAACAAAAGGGAACGGAGGGAGTACTATTTTATTTTCTGTCTGTTGAGGGAATAGAAGCATGTGAGATTTATATAAAGAATATTCAGTGGATTTAAAACATAATAACTTCATGTCCAAAGACAGGCCAGAGTAAGTTTAATGAAAGTGCACAGAACCGGAGCAAATTAGAGAAGCAAAAATGATTCAGGCCTAAATCCTACATTAGACGCATATGCAAATTTATAAAATCAAGATATTTAAAGGCTGTTACATCATGAATGGCCAATTGGCCATCACTGAGTATGTAATTCCCTCACAATTTCATGATAGGTTGTTGAGATACATCATTTTTTCTAAAACACCAAATATTTGATAAGCCATTACCGAACTATATCAGCTCTTACAACTTACAACCCATTCATTATGTCATTTCCCATACACTTCACATCAAGAAAACTCTTACATCATAACAAGAAGCACAATTAGCTGGATTCAAAACTAACTGCGATAACAATAGGAAGACAAATTCCTCAATATTCTCGTTATATATGATACATAGAATAAAAGATCTAGAAGTTCATTTGCAAGAAAGGATTTACCTGTTCTTTCTATGCACTATTTTCAAATTGAAAGTCTCAAATTCCTCTTCCTGGGCCTTTATCTGCCTTACTTGTTCCTGAACAGCAGCAGCTTCTTCATCCTCTAAACATGCTCCAACATCATCTTCTCTCATACTTGCTGTCTTTTCATCATCTGCCCTTTTCACACGCTCCTTATCAACATACGCATACGCATAGTCTGAGAGTGTAGAAGGAGTTGATTCTGCTGATCTTACAACAGGAGCATTAGTTTCATCTTCAGGACTCCGGGCAGGTGAAGAACCGCTACTTTTATGTTTCCATGATGCAAGCATACCATCGTTTCTTATACAATCATTATGTTCATCGCCCACACTATTGTTGTTGCTTGACCACATAGGTTTACTAGAACCTGCAGGCTCACCTCTCGCAGGAGGAGCAAATGAAAACCCCACATCTGAATGACTTCTGAGTTGTAAGCATGTATCTTTATCAGCTTCCAGCAAATATTTATCAGAATCATGCCTGGATGCTTCCTTCCTGTCCTTGATTGTCCTAATTTGAGGATGCTTAGATGCACCTAAACCAATTTCATGTTCATGAAAGTACTCAAAGTCCCCTTCACTACTTCCACCAATTAAACTGTCACGTAGTTCACTGCCAAAGTCAGCAACATCACTGTTGATTCCCACACCAATTGATCTAACAGAACCATGCTGGTCATCATCAATGCATCCATCATCCAGCACAGACTTTCCAAATTCATTCATAACCTTGCCATCCCCCAACATGATCATGTCATCTGACTGCGTCACGAAGCCTTGCCATACAGGTTCAGAACGCATCAGGTTCAGTTCCTCTTCATCCATTAACTGCCCATCATAATGAGCAATTATATCATTACCATCAGCTTTCTCATACACCTCTGTAACAGACAGTCCAATAGGATCATCTGAAGCTGATATAGGCTCCAAGTTTTTTGAATGAATATATTGCTCACCGGAAAAATAAGAATCCTCCTCAGCAAAAGACTGATCATCTTCCTCCACTTTGGTTATAGCTCTTTCTTGATTATCTGGAATACTCCCATGTCCAGTTCCTTTTTCATTATCGCTAGGGTAGTCAATTTCATGAGCTAAAAACCAAGCCTCGTCCTCAATAGGTTGTCTCATGTATCCAACATCGTCGTCATCATCATACTCATCAGAGTCCCAGTAGTCATTAGCGTAATCAATAGATTCACTTAATCCATCACCGATTGTTGCAAAGCCAGATACCATATCTGAAGCATCTTCTGTTATACCCCGGCTGACTGATAGCCAATTGCCTCCTGTCATTCTTTTCGCACCTGGATCATTAAATCATATATCAAGTTAGATCTTATATAATGTCAAAAGAGCATTTCAATAAAACCAAGCAAGATACTAGTCACTTAGTATTCCACAACAACAAAAATAAAGCCTTAGTCCCAAACTCAATTTGGGGTTAACATGAATTGTCATAAGGAGCTGTCCACCATAAAAATGGAATCAAGTAATGGGGAAAAGAAACAAGAAGAAAAAAAACGCAGATGAATAATTGAGCAGACAACAAAAGCAAGATTCAGTTCCCATGCCAAATTTGGAATTCGTCAAGCAATTAACAAATGATGTTTTTTTCCAAACATCATTCCACAGGCACACAGCATACAGATTGACACAAATGAAAAAAAGCGGTAAAAGGATAAACACATCAAAATAGCCAAACTGAGTGTATCCAAAACATTGCTACACATGACAAATTTTCGGTATCCAATTTTTTATTTTTTTATTAAAAAGAAAAGAAAATACTGACCACAATTTACTCAGCAGCAAAGGGGAAACATATAGTTGCATAATTTCGGCTCAGCTGTGACGTAAAGGATTTTCAATAGACCGAACCGAACTAATCCAATTCATCACAAAGTGCTCAAAACCCACAATCTCATCCGAATCACAGATAACAACACCGAATCCCCCCTTCCCCACATGCATTGAACGCTACATCACGTGTTTCACTTACAAAGTTACTTGCTATATAAAGATATAATGAAAGATTACCCATTCTTCTCTATGACGGCTCTAAACCTACTAATATACTCTAATAGCACACAATGAAGATAATTTTTTTTATAAATTAACATTATATGTGTATCACGACACAGTTTGCGATCAACACATCATTTCAATTCATTAGAACACACAACATGGAACTCCTCGGTTTTGAGACCTTGGAAAGAGTTAAATCATAGACCTGATTTGCAGGTGATAAGAGACATCTCCTTGAGATACTGAGACAACCATTCAATCTTGCTGGCCCCACACCTCATGTCCCCAAATTCCAACTCTTACCCCACAACAAGCTCTCCTTTCTCCATGTTTCAAATCACAGACTGGATCCTTGTACAGGCAGTAATATTCCATGCTTCCCGTGAAGATCAAGAGATAAGAAATACATATACCAGTTTAATCGAGCAAAACATTATGATTCCAGGCTCTAAAGGCCAAACCTTTGTGAAATCACTTCTTTTATTGAAACCGGATCAAAATGCTTTCCATAGAAGAAGATTTGATAGTTGAATACAATGAAAATCCAAGTTCTCACTTTTTTGTTCTTTTAAATTTTGGAAAAAATATGAACAGCCTACAAGAAAAGCTTGATAATCCAAAATGAAGTGCAATTTCTTCATTTTGAATGTTTATCCCATAATAGTATAATACCCATGCTTAATCTAAGAAATCAAGTTCTGGTACAGCAACTCGACACTTCAAATCACTATAAAACCATCAAATCTCAGAAACTATGTAGGTCCAGCCTCTAGATACATATCCCCACAACAAATTGGACCTTAAATAGAACTGCATAATACAGCCGTTAAAATCAACATGGTCAAAGACAATGACAGAGGCCAAGATGATATCAAAACAGCCCAAACACACATACCTCTTCAAATAATTTTATACAGCGTACAATGTGACACAAAATTTCTAAGAGCTTCAAAGAATATGGATTCAACCTTCTTGATGAAAATACAACATTACATCCATCAAACACATGGAACCTTAAAGCTCAAGACAACATTCCTACATATTTTTTTATAGCTAAATCCAAGCTTTGAAGGATAAGAATGAGTCAAGGGGTAATGGGAACCAACTGTGGTCTATATCACAGAGGAGGTGAGTTTGTGGAGGTGGTAGTCACAACTTGGCACAGAAAAGAGAATCGGAAAGGACAAGCTATTACTCTGCAATTACAGAAGGCAAATAAAACCTACTATCACTTTTAAAAAGCTAGACTCTTTATTTTATAATGTTGAACACTCCACACATTGACGAGGAGATAAAACCCATACCCAACAATTTTGCTTCCATTTCTCGTTAATCTAGAGCACATCCTAGTGAAAAGTAATTACAAAAACAGAAAGCAGAGAGGAGAAAGGAGAAAGTTAAGTGATAGAGTTCAAATGAGCTTGACATTTGATTATCCTATATATCTAGCAAACAAGTCAGCCTGAATTATGTGCATATATATATGTGTATCATGAAAGGTATATACACAAGTTTTACAAATATTAGGAGCACATATCATGTAACTTGTATTGCCAAATAACTAGTCCAAATTCAGAACAATGTCCCTATGTCCCAAATGGATCCTAAGCATGTATAACACTAGGATTTATGCCCATTTTCAATCCATGACCCTATCTGGGTAGTTAGGTAGTGATCTGCTACACTCCCCTCTCATTCTTAGCATCGTAGGTTGCCTACCAATGTTTACTTACATATATTTTACTATTTCAGTAATTAACCTAATCCCATGAAAGGTCCCACAATAAACAAGCCACAGGAAATTAGAACCCCCCCCCCCCAACCCCAAAAAATAAAAAGCTCCATCTTTTCCATCATGAGATCATTACCCATCAGAAGCTGGAACTTTTATGAGTAACTAAGGGCATGAGGCCCCAAATTGATTATAACTAAGTTATTAAACACATTCATTCTTTTCAGATTCAGATGAAAAAGTCAGAGGCCTGACAAAAAATTTTAATTGCTATATAACTGATTATTCCAAGAACTGAACATGTGCTGGAGAAGCTTTAGAACAACACATCATTGTGCATCTAGGAAGGAAATATATTAAATTGGCATACATATGCAACTAAGGTTTAAACAGTTGTACTGGATTGTAATAAATAAAAATTGACAAGCTAACCTGATGAGCTTATCTCTTGGCCAACGGGAACATCCAAATACGAACCTAAAAGATAAGTAGCATCAGCACTACCTAACTTCAAGCTGGGTCCATCATTATCAAATCTCTCCTCCCAATTAGCACTCAGAGGCTTATCTTCTGACTTGAGTCTAACAGGAGGCAACCTTGGGTAATCTTCCTTCTGACTTTCAGAAACCAGAGAGAAACCCGAATAGTCATGATCCTTTTTGTCACACGTCCCATGAAGCTTTGCGAGATATAGAGATCTTCCAACCTCATCCACTTGCTCCTTAATAGCTGCTCTAATGTCAACCATGTCTGGTTTCCTAAAACCTTCCTTAGTGCCAGAATCAGCAACACTATCACTGGTGGTTGGAACATCAATGTTAGAAAATGACAGGACAGTCTTCACTGCACATTCATTCCATTGACCTGATGAGGAATACGAAGCCTCTTCATTTCTGGAATCCAATTCATCTCCAAAATTGCTTTTAGACTGCATAATGTCATTTCGTTTTCGTTTGTCAACATCTTTAAGCTCACTTGGTTGGGTAGTCTTGTAATTTGTATCCACACTCGCTTTACCAGAGCTAGAAACCCAGGTCAATCGCTTTTCTGGGAAAGCACTATCATTATCAGGTCGCAAATCAACTTTCCCTGCATTAGATGACTCACTATTCTGCAACTCAAGAACACCAGAATTCACATTACTACTGCTGCTTTTACAGGGCTCCCCAGCGCCGTTGTTTTGACTATACCTCCAAGTACATAAATCAAGCACAGTGTCATCAGATTCTTTCGAGAAAGAGAAGTTTTTCTCGCTTACTCGGGCTGTTTCACCAGAAGTTCTATGTTCGACATTGGTTGTGTTTGAGTTCCACTTACTCTTCTTACCAAGACTAGTACTCCCACACTCTATTTCTTTGACAATAAGCTCTTTAGAAACATCACAACTATTCCAAGAACCAGATTCGTGATTTCGAACCGGTATCGACTTCACATTCTCTTCTACTGCCTTCTTACCCCTTTCCTCTTCAAGGGTTAATTTCTGGAACCCATTATTATCGGGCCGGTTACCTAACTCGTTGCGCAGTGCCGCCTCAGCCCGAGAAAATCCATTCTTTTGCAAAAACTCCAAAATTACATCAACGGAGCCTGTATTATCCATTACAGCAACTAAAAGAACAAAACAGACAGCAATTTGCCCCCTTCAAACACAACTCGAAACAAGATTCAACTCAAATTAAGCGAAAACATCCTTGAACAATTGAAAATGAATTAAAAATGTCTTAATTCAACCGTTGTTCTTCGTCACATTGCAGGTATCCTGAAATTAACACCTTCAATTGAAACATTGAACAAAAAAGTGCAAATCTACAAACAATGCAAGACTCACAAAACCCAGATCAAGTTAGAAATTAATAATAAATTCAAAAAAAAAAATCACTACAAAAATCAAATACCTGTCCTCAATTAAGCTGAAGTTGAATTGAACAGAATAGAACGAACATTTGGAGAAAACAATCGAAATTAGGGCAAATTAGGATCAAGAAAGCCCTAGAAAAAAGCGCAGATCTTCTTAATTAGGGCAAGAAATTAAACAAAGGAGGAGAGAGAGAGTTGAGAAAGGGGGGAAAATAAGTGGGGAAATGAAAAAATTTTGATGACACGAATTAGTTTGAGCCGTTTATTACTCAGTTTTTTGGTTTGGTTATTTCCATTGCCAAACTTCAACTTTGCACGTTTTTCAAACGATTTCCATACAACCAATTACAACCCGCAAGTACTAAATGCAGTACAAAATAACCTAAATGCATAAATTAATTAATGATTAGAAAATAATAAAAGACTGAAATACTCTTTTCCAAAATGAAAAAATTGATTTGTCATTTCACCAGAATTTTATTTTTTACATTTTCCCTTTTGTGATTCATTTCATTCGCTATTTTTTTCCATTTTATTCACCATTTCAGTCGCCATTTTTTTATGCTATTCATTTCATTTCATCATTTCCCTCAAATTTTTTCAATCTAAGCCGTAGAGACGAAGAAGTCGTTCACAGTCGGCTATGATTTCCACGGGGTACTATTTTACCCCGACTATGATTTCCAAGGGGTACTAAAGACCCCCAGAAATCATAGTCGGGGGGTGCAGGAGACCCCCGTAAATCGTAGTTGGGGGGTGTTGGAGACCCCCGGAAATCGTAGCCGGGGTGTATTGTTGACCCCCGGAAATCATAGCCGGGGGGTACTGTCGAGCCCCGGCAACACAACCGGCACCGTGATACATGCCCATGAATAAAAAGTTTCGTTTAAGATGGAAATTTTATTTTGTTTGATTGTTCATTTATAACTTAGATTTTGCGAAGAAAAAAAATTTACAGCACATAATTTTCATATCTCAAAAAAATCGTAGTAATGCACTTTATTATTATCCATGAATTTGTATAGCATTGAATATTTAATAGGATAAAAGGTTGAATACGTTAGAATATGGTTGTAAATTAAACGGTAGGGATGTTTATATAGTTAGGAGTGCTAAGGATTTAATTTTAATCCTTAAAAAAAAGTGTAAGGGGTTAAATTAAAACAAGGGCAAATATGGAATATAATTTTTTTTTTTAAAAATAATTTATTCTGCATTTAGGTAAAATTATGTCTGCATTTAGTACTCCCCTTACAACCCCTTTACAATACGGACTTAGGCCCGATTTGATTCACTTTAATTTTGCTGAACTGAAATTATTTTTACTAAACTGAAATTATTTTTACTGAACTGAACTTATTTAAACTGAACTGAACTTAATTTTACTGAACTTAAATTATTTTTACTGATTTTCTATTATAATTCTTCTTTAAGAAAACTGAATTTTACTGAACTGAACTTATTTTTACTGAACTAAAATTATTTTTATTGAACTGAAATTAATTTTACTGAACTGAAATTATTTTTACTTAATATTATTTTTTTAAGGTGAAGAGAACAGGGCCTTACGGAGTAACCATATCAACGGGTTTCTTGAATTCTTGTACATCCCTCCCAATTTTTTTATTTTTTTAATATATTTTTTGCTCCATTCGTCGTTAAAACTATTGCTCGAGAGTCAGGTCGGGTTGAGTTTGAAATGGTTGAGTGAATGTGTTTTGCAATAAAGGCAAAATATGAGAATAGTTATTATTTTGAGTTTTTATTTTGATTGTAGAAGTTATGTTCTTTTTTCTAAACATGTGGGTTATAAGATTTATATAATCACTATATCTGACAAGCACACCTCCAATTTCTCTAGTAGGGGAACATTAGTTGTCTCTCAAATGGCATTATTGTGAATGTATTGCGAATCTTGGGCAAGAATCCAATAAGGTTACATGTGCAGTAGCTGAGTTTGTTGTGCTTACCTAGCTTTGTCGATGGTTGTATTTGCTGACTTAGATTGGCAGCCATTTGCAAAGGTGTCAGCGACGTTTACTTTGGAAACATCGCTCCGTAAGAGGTGAATTAACTATTGGTAAAGTTTTCCTTGTCACTAATATTCGAACCACTTTTCTGGCCAAAAACCTCGACTGTGTCAAAGCTTTCGATGTAAGTCGGCAATGTTTGTCGCAAACTCGCAACGTTTCATGATGTTGGTCGTAGCAGTTCTTAGTCGTTAGGTTGTGTCCGTTCATGTTTGTGTTAGCTTCGATTCATGGAAGGTATGTTTTACATGTTTTTTCTAATTAACTATCGAATTTATAGGTGGTAATTTTCGATTCATTACTGTATATTATAATTGTTACTGTATTGTTTACTTAATTTTATGTTTCCTTATTCATTAATTTGCATGTACGATATGCGATGTAGATATGTGAAGATCAAAGCAATGCTATTTAAATTTGGAATTGTTTAGGAATGCATAGAATATTATTTGTTGATATATGTATATAAAGATGTGTGTTTTTTTTTTTGAAATTTGTTTATAAAGCTTAATATTGTTTATGGAGCAACCATCTGGTGTAGAAATATTCAATGTATATAGATACTAAATTTGTTTGAAGAATATTGATAATACAAGTTACTGCTAATTAGTTTTAGAATTAGTCGAAGTATATATACATTGATAATAAGTTTGTTTAAAGGTTTTCCTTCACTCTTCTCCTTTTTTCTCTTGTCTTCCATCTCTTTTCTTCTGATCTCAATTGTAAATTTTTGGAGGGGCTTCCACCGATGGTTTTACCGGTGGTAAGCCCCAAAAAAATTTTAGTTGCTTTCAATAAATGGATATCATACCATCATTATGATGGAGTTTATTCAATTAGGTTTTTTTCCCCTGTGCTATAGATTGAAGATTTAGGGTTCCATCGTCTTCGAAAGTATCAAGAAGTCATTTGAGTTTCTTCACCCAAACAACTATTCATCCGTGGATCTCAAACTGAATTAGTGCTAACTCACAGATTGTATTGCTTCATATGAAGTTTTTTTTATTAAAGCGATCGTTGATCAAATCTGCGATGTAACTAGTTATAAGGTTATTTGTACTTGTATTGAAATTTTAGATTTCCTAGGAATTGTTTGTAAGTGTCATTTGACTATCTTTCATTAATGAAATCCTTTTTCTTCTCATAAAAAAAATTAAAAAACTATTATTATTTTTTTATAATTTTCTACACATTTTTTCCACACGGACAATGCGTGACCTATGGTTTGTAGGGGCAGTGTCCTTGTTGTGGTTGATAGGGATAGTGGCGTGAAGCCTAAAGGTAATGATATAGAAGGTGGTCTTGATGAAATTTTAGTTGACGATAGTCCTATTGTGGTGATGGTGACATTGATCAAAGAAATGATGCACAAATAGCCACTAATTGTTGATATACTTATCCTTGGTGTTAATTCTAAGACTGATGAAAAAAATGAGAATAGCAACTACGTGGAGGTGTGAGCGTTAGGGTCGTCCAGAGGGCGATAAGGGAAGGGAGAAAAAGGGATAATTAAGGTCAGTGATGGATGTTTGTGGATCAAGTGGAGTAGGTGGAGGTGTTCTAAGGAAGGATGAATTATTACGCCATGGAAAGATGATCGACTTTAAAAAAAAATTGTGAACGTAAAGCAATGGTGTATGATAGTTGTAGACACGCATTTGTATCTCCCCAAAACCAAACCCGATGATGAGTACCTTTCACGTCGAATCATAATCGAATGAAGTGAAAGTGTGGAAAGTCTAGTGATGCGTTTAGTTTTTAAATTCTTTTCTTTCTCTCTGTTTTTGAAAACCTATTTTATGAAAATAGTCAATCCAGTTTAGTTTGGTCCATGGCAAGGGACTGATAATGGTGTAGTTGGATTGGGTTCGAAAAGAGCTTTCCAACGATATATTATAAGCCCAATTCCGATGAATAATGAGGAAGTTATGGCCAAATTACTAAACTGGGTCCGGTTTGATGCTTATGTGCGGCTCAATGATCTAGGGAAGCCCTATTATGATTTATCATTCCTAATGAAATTAGGATTAATTATGGTTTTCTAGAATCTTCTAGAAGGTTCTTTTGAATCCTAATGTATTTAGCATTGATAATTGAGTTTTAAGAGTTTTATTTAGAATAAAAGAAGTGTTTTTGAGGAAATTACAGTTTTACCCTTCATACGCTTAAATTTTATCAAAATATGAAAATACGTGGAAAAATTGTCTGTAGCGCCGCACTACAGGTTGTCGCCTGGCGACAGGCCTGGCGTCGCGGCGACACGTCTGTCGCTTGGCGACAGGCTCTGTTGTCTGGCGACAGGGGCGTGTTTGGCGACAGCGTCGTGTTTTATTCTTTTCGAAACTCTGATTCTTTTTTATCATAATCCGGCTGATTTTCATTATAAATAGCCTTCTAAAACCTCCGTTTTCAATCATTAACTCTCATCAAGAAATTCTTGATATTCTCTCTCTCTTTTCTAAACAAGCCTTTTCTCAAATACAAAATTCCACATTCACAAGATCTAGACACACCTAGCCAAGTTCGAAGTTGCCTTCGCCCTAGACGTGAAATGTTTGATTTCTGAGGGTTTGGTCCCAAATCTAGTCTAAACTTTCTTAGATCTTTCTTTCAATTATTTAATTAATTGTTTTAATTTTATTATTTTCCTTGAAGTTACTAACGTGTGTATTTTGTTATTAGAAAGAGGTACGAGGCATCCAAGTAAGTGCTTTAATTGTTTTAATTGATATTTTGATATAGAAATCATGTCTAGGTTGTTATTTTAATTCCTAGTATCATGTTAGGATGCTCTTCTTAATTTGATGTTTAGAATGACAATAATAAGTTCCTAGTATCATGTTTAAGGTAAAGAATATAATGTCAATTATGATTTCTATGATGCCTTTTATTATCTTTCCTAATATTCATGTTAGTATCATGTTAGGGTTATAAATTTTATCTTTGATGCTTAGTGACATGCTAGGGTTTGTTATTAATCTTGTTAGTATCATGCCTAGGATCTTGCTATTATTATGCTTTAACATGATTATTTTAATTATTATTATTATTATTATTATTATTATTATTATTATTATGTTGCTTGATATTTATTGTTATTGCTTAATCACGCCCTCTCTTGCATGTTTAAAGGGAATTGGTATTTGTAATCACGCTTTATAAGATAATTAGTAATCTTGTTTAGGGTTAATTTGATTATAATTCAAGTGATCGCCAATAATAGATTTGTTTGTGCATTAACATTCAACCAACATAGATAAACAGGTTTAGGGTTAACCTAATGATTGCATGTTAGTCAAAAAGCGCACATGAATACGAGAAGAATTGTTTGTGCATTAACATTCAACCAACATAGATAAACAGGTTTAGGGTTAACCTAATGATTTCATGTTAGTCAGAAAGCGCACATGAATACGAGAAGAATAAAGTAGAGGCTTAATATTAGGGCAGGTTCTTTCTCTTTTAGATTGGATTTGTACCTTCATCCCGGAACTTCCAGTTATGGTTCCAGACCTATTGGAGTTAACAATCTCCTGGATCGTTAAGGGGTGTAACCTTCACCTTGTGAACGGTTTACAAGTTCCTAAAACTTGTTGGCGACTCTTTTGCTCTAGCTTCCTTCCCTTTGGACGCCACCATGCTTAAGTGTATGATCACAGTGGGGTTCAAGTTTGGGATAATGCTTGAAATATTCCCTACAATAGTGTTAATGAGGAAGATAAGGGAATTAGAATTAATGGAAGGTGGAGTTAGAGCATACTCATGATCCAGCTCCGAGCAAGTCTATACTTGTGAAGGAGTACTTCATGAAGCTTATGACCTCAAATGTTCGAAAGAAGTTACAGAGTTATTTTGATGAGGGTGTATTTGGCCTGTATCACGAATGGGATGGAGAACATGTCACTGACTATTAAAGACTTACAACATGAGGCTTACAAGTCTAGGTGTCAGAATATGGTTGGGGGTGACTTAGAGGCAATGTTTGAATACTTTGAGAAGATGCAATCTAGCAAAAAGAATTTCTACTATTCGCAAAGGTTGGATGAACAAGGTCGTTTGAAAGATGTTCTATGGGCGGATGCTAGAAGTCGAGCTGTGATGAGTGGCATTTTTGCCACTCTTTTATCCTTTTTCTCTAAGAATTTTCCCCTCATTTGCACTTGTTTGATCCCTTTCAAAGCTTTTTATCTTCATTTTTGTGATGTTTCATCCTTTTTCGTGTTTTCCCTCCTTTTCTCCCTTTTCTTATGTTTTTCTTTATATTTCTTCGTTATTTTGTAGATTGTTGGCCCTTTTGGAGAAGCTTATAGGTGCATTTTGAGCCATGGAGGGAAAAGAGATGCTCAAGGAGAAGGTGGAAGCAACTTAGGGAGCCGCGGGTGTGGAACCAAGGCCCTCGGGCGCGGGATGCTATTGTGCACTTGGACAATATTTTCAGTAGATGTCTAGCCGCGCCCTGGAAGTGGTCTCTCCTCCATGACCCGCGAGCGCGACATCACAGGCCGCGGGTGCGGCATTTTGAGGCTGGCCTTCCCCTGCTCCCAGGTCGCGGTCTCTCCTCAGCTGGAGAGGCCTCTCCTCCTTCAACCCATGGGCGCGGCTTTCTAGGCAGGACGAAGTCGTACCCTGCCTGGAGAGGGCTCGACAGAGGGCTCTCCTTGGTGTTTTATTTCTGACTTTTAGATGCATATAAATAGCCTTCTTATTGGATTTTGTAAGCATCCTATTTTCAATCAACATTTAGACCTAGTATTTTAGAGAGAGAAAGTAGCTTATTCTTCAAGTTTCTTCATTGTATTCAACATTTGATCAAGTTTATTTCAATCAAAGGCAAAGTTCCAAGTTTTCATATTTAATCAAGTTCCTCTTTAGTAATCTCTAATCCCTTCTTTTAGTTTGATTTATTTGCTTTGTTATTGCTTATTTTCATATATCTCTTTAGTTGAACTTGTTAATATTGTTTTTATTTGTTTTCAATCATGATTAGTTTTGTGTTTATTAAATCCTTATTTGGTTTTGCTATGATGGTTAGTTTCTCTTTCCTAGGCTAAGCTTAGCTAGGGGAAGGGGGTGGAAAACATGTGTTAATATTGATGATTAATGATGATTTGATTGAACTCATGCCATAAATTGATGAAAGATGTGATTTTTGATAGCTTGAGATTATTAGTAGCACATTATTTGATGTTCCCTAATCTAAATGCATGAGAATGATTTGGATTAGATTAAGATCACCTTTAGTTTGATGATTGCATGAAAAGGAATTATTTAAGTAAAGTTTTATGTATTGTGCGCTCTTAATCTCTTGCCATGATTAGTGACTAATTGGATGCATGAAAGTGATTTAGTTAGGATAAGACCTAGTTCATTGATTTGCTTAAGCGATTGCATGAAAGTGAGTTGTTTGAGTAGAACTTAGCATTCTATGGCATGTTCTTCGTGATAATCATCATTGTCCTTCTATATTTGATTCATGTTTGATACCCCCATTCCCCTAGTGTTGTTTATCTTTGGTTTAATCCTTTTAATTTTTCTTTCCTTATTGCTTTAGTTTATTCAATCACGAAAACCAACAAAAATATTCTCCCATTTAGTGGATTTGATGTTTAACTAGTGTGCTTTCTCGTGGTTTGATCCTATACTTGCCGTTAACTAGTTTAGTGAAATGTTTAGGTTTATAAATAATTAATTTGATTAGGTTAGTAGTCCCAACGACCTACTCAACCCCGATCGAATTTTGCGCCATTGCCGGGGAAACGACTTGTTTTGCATGTATTTTTGCTATTGTTAGAGTTATTTTATTTGTTTTTCTTGTTATTTTTGCTTGCTTTATCCTACTTGTCATTGCTAATTGTTCTCTTAGCTTTGGTGGATGCTTAGGAGATCTCAAGGTCCGCCCACCATAACATTGACCACGAGATCGACTGAACTTTGAAACAAGTCTATAAGATTTATCAAGAAGAGGGAAGAGGCCCTGGTGCTATAGTGGATAGTGGGAGCTAGTGACTCTTGTTCTTCAAGTGCTCAAAGTGAGGCAATGGCGGGAGAAGAGGATGAAGTTTTGTTTCGTGAGTTTGGGAACCCGGAGGATTACGAGCTCACGGGAGGGATTTTGCTTCCCGTTACGAAAACCAACTTTATTATTCACTCCAATACATAAGGATGGTACAAGGGGAGCAATTTTCGGGTTCACCAAGTGAAGATCGCATTGAGCACATTTATAGATTCCTTAAGCTATGTGCCATGATTCAAACCAATCAAGTTTCTCAAGAGTACATCCGAATGCATCTATTTGGCCAATCTCTTTCGGGTAGAGCTAAGAAGTGGCTCAAGCAAGTGAAGCCAAATTCTCTCACAACATGTAGAGAGATAGTCAAGGCATTGTTGAAGAGGTTCATTTCCGAAGAAAAGACCGCCAAGATGAGAAGGAAGATTGCATCATTTAAACAAGAAACAAATGAGAGTCTTAGTGAAGCTTGGGAAAGGTTCAAGGATTTGGTATAAGCATGTCCTCACCATGAATACAATAAAAGCTTGCTCATGCGATTCTTCTATGATGGTTTGGAACCCATGTCTAGAGCTAACTTGGATGGTGGGGAGGGGGGCGGGTGGACAATTGATCAAGATCCCCCAAAACCATGTTAAGGCAACGATCGAAGAAGTGGCGAAGAACTGCTCTTGGGATGGTAGAAGGAGGAATGCCCCGACGAAAGGTGGGATGTATGAATTGGAGAAGGTTGATCAATTGTAACATCAAATTAAGCTTTTGAACAAGGGGCTTGCAAAGTTGAATACAAGTGTTAATAGTGGGGAAAGCTCATCTCAAGTCAATCTTTTCTCATGCCAAAATTGTGGTGGTACAAACCATGATACATCTTATTGTGGAGATTTGAGCCCCGAACATGTTGCAGCTTACAACATACGCCAAGATGGATTTAGGGGAATTGGCGGAGGAGTAGCTTGGAGACAACCACCACCCGGATTTGCACCTTAACCTCAATAATGGGGGTAACAAGCTCAACCATCATACAATTCCAAACCTCAATATTAAAACCCACCTCCACCTCAAAACCAAAACCCAAGGGGTAACTACCCAAGAAACAACCAATACAACAATCAAAATCAAGGGTCTCAAAGGAGTCCAGATCAAGCATCTTCATCCGATTCCACACAAACCCAAATTCTCCAACAACTCCAAGCCATGAATCAACAAATGAAAGAGGTCAAAGCTCATAACAAGATGGTTGATTCACAACTAGCCCAATTGGCCGAGAGAGTACCTTTTAACTCACCTTCTACCTTACCCGGGCAACCACAACCTAACCCCTCTCACAACTTGAAACACAATTCTTGCAAGGCAATTACCTTGAGATCTGGCACATTTTATGAAGGGCTTAGAGAAGGGGAAGAAGAAGAAAGTATCAGGGTGAAAAAGAGAGTTGAAGAAGACAAAGGTGTTAGGAAAGAAGAGAATGTAGAGAAGAAGAAGCACAATGATGAGAAAAAAACCTCAAGTCCTAGTGAGAATAGGAATCTCGATGAGCCGGTTCCTTTTCCCGGGAGGCTTGCGGAGAAAAAGTTGAATGATAAATTCGCAAAATTCCTTAGTGTAATGAAGAGCTTACACATAAGTCTCCCTTTCATCAAGGTTGTTACCCAAATTCCTTCCTATTCCAAATTTCTTAAGGATATCTTAACCAACAAGAAATCTCAATGACGAGCTCATTACCCTCCCTTATTAATTTAGTGCACTCGTTCAATTAAGTTAGTGCACTCGTTCAACACAAGATGCCAAAGAAAGAGAAGGACCCGAGAAGCTTTACTTTACCGGTTAAGATCGGTAGCATGGAACCTAGGGGTGCCTTGGCGGATTCAGGATCGAGTGTTAGCTTAATTTCTCTCTCAATTGCACAAAAGCTGAATATTGAAATGATTCCCACAAGAAAAACAATTCAACTAGCCGACCGCTCAGTCAAACTTCCTTGTGGTGAACTTGAAGATGTTCCTATCCAAGTTTGGCATATCTATGTTCCATGTGATTTTGTAGTGATGGATATGGAGGAAGATGTTGATACTCCTTTGATCTTGGGTTGTGAAGATGTTAAAACCTTGGGGGGAGGTTATCAATTGCAAAAACAACACCATTACATGTGAGGTGGCCGATGAGAAGATTGTCTTTGAGTTCTCTAAGTTACTCAAGACCCCCATGGTTGAGAAATGCTACCGAGTCGATGTTGTTAATGAGGAGTTGGATCGTTTGGGGAGGGTAGTGATGAGGCCGCAAGATCCAATGATCGAAGCTCTTAGTTACAAGGAAGAGTTTCATTCACAAGAGGCAAGAGAGTTCGTTATGGATTTGGAGGAAACCTCAAATGGGGATGAGGTTGAACAAAAAGTGGAAATCGGGGTTGAACAAGAAAAGGAGAAATTGGAGGAGAGTTCTACGCCTCCTCCCAAGGTAGAACTCAAACCCCTTCCCCCTTCTTTGAAATATGATTTTCTTGACAATGAGGGAAAATACCCTATTATCGTTAATGCTAGCCTTGATGGAATTCATTTGGAAAAATTTCTTGATGTTTTGAGAAAATATAAAGATGTGATAGGGTATATCATTGATGATATTAAGGGTATTAACCCTTCTTTGTGCATGCATCGAATTCATCTTGAAGATGATCAATCCACCTCCATTGAACCTCAAAGGAGATTGAACCCCAACCTCTAAGAGGTTATCAAGAAAGAGATTTTGAAACTACGTGAAGCGGGCATCATCTATGCTATCTCCGATAGTAAACGGGTTAGCTCAGTTCATGTAGTTCCAAAAAAGGGTGGAATGACCATCATAAAAAATGAAGGAGGAGAGGAAATATCCACCCGGACGATGATCGGGTGGAGGATGTGTATTGATTATGTTGATGTTTAAAGGTTTTGATGATGAGGAACTTGAGTTACAGCAAACTCATCTCATAAAGACTTTTCAAGTGTTTGTGCAGCCTAGGTGAAATTGATCTTGGAGATGGAAGAAGTAACTAAAGCTGAGAAGACTTGAAGGAGTTCTTTATCAAGAAAGTTATTCAATATAAAAGAAGAGTTCCCTAACAGGAACTGAGTTCCCTCACAGGAACGTTCCTTCACAGGAACTTGAAGATTGCTGACTAAGATCGTTGGAGGAACTTAGTAAGCGTGAAGTCCAAGTAAACCTTCCAGAACAAGAATACAGCGCATCAATGTTTTAGTTAAGATTTTATCTTCTAGATTCATTGTTAAATATGTTAAGTAGGATATACATGAAACTTATTAGAAGCGTGACAGTTAGCTTGGCAAATAAATTAAAATCGGAAAAAGATTTTCTTTAAATATTTATCTTTTAAAATCAGTTTGTTAAAAAGATATTATGCTTTTTAATTCAATATTTCTATCTTATTTTCTGAAAAGATTTTCTTCAAAGGATTTAATTAAAAAACCGTGTTTTAAGATAAGTTAAGTTTTACTTATTTATCTTTATGTAAACCTACTGTTTATACAGGTAATACTCGTATAAATAGTAGAGAATAATATGAGCCTAGGTTTTGGTGAGTTTTATGCGTGAAGAATTTACAGAGCTATAGTTGCGTAAGTTTGCCAAGCTTATCATACTGTCATATTAGTTTCGAGTTTCATGCATAGCTTGCCTATCATATACTAGGTGTTAATTCTTATATTTGGTTTTGGGTTTATCAGGGTAAGAGTGTTTTTATCGTTGCATACAGAGAGAGCTTCTGGTGAGAAGGGGAAAGATCTGTACTTAGGGAGTACGAGTGAGTTTGAGTGTGGGACTCAAACTGTGTAGAACAAGGTGTTGTTCTGTAGCAAGTTCATTCTCGAACTTGAGAGTAGAGGATGAATTATAATAGGTTGTAACTTGGTGTTTGCCCTATTATAGTGGAATTGTTTGAGTTTGAAATCCCTAAGGTAGGGTCGAGGTTTTACTTCTAGTTGGGCACTAGAAGGTTTCCTCGTAAAATTTGTGTGCATCGCAAGTTCCTATTTTGTTCTGTTTTATATTTGCAAAATTATTATTTAGGAACTCAACTACAATTCACCCCCCATCTTGTAGTGTTCATCTCAGTTAACAATTGGTATCAGAGCACGGTTCTCACGTGCAAGCAGATAATTTTGCTGAGTAAGTTCCTGGAGAGATGAATTACAAGGAGAAACTAGAAGAAGGGTACTCTACCCAACGTCCACCTATGTTCAACGGTAAGTTTTATGCCTACTGGAAGAACAGGATGGAGATATTCATCAAGGCAGAAAATTACCAGGTTTGGCGTGTAATTGAAACTGGTAATTTTGAAATAACTCAAACCAATGACAAGCATGAGGTAGTCTCTAAATCTATTTCTGATTATGATAAAGAAGATTATCAGAAACTTGAAATGAACGCTTTAGCTATAAAGTATCTGCACTGTGGACTTGGACCCCATGAACATAATCGTATCATGGGATGCAAGTCTGCCAAACAGATTTGGGATTTGTTACAGGTAACTCATGAAGGTACTAACGAGGTAAAACATTCTAAAATAGATTTATTGATGTCTAGGTATGAAAGGTTTGAAATGCAATCCAAAGAAACCATAGAAGAGATGTTTACTAGATTCAATGATATTATTAATGAACTGAACTCCCTTGGCAGGCAAATTCCTATTGATGAACAGGCAAGGAAGATCTTAAGAAGCCTACCACAAGATGAACGCTGGAGATCCAAGGTTACTGCCATGTAGGAAGCTAAGGACTTTACTAAGTTCAATATGGAACAACTAGCTGGATCATTGATGACTCATGAACTTCATCTGAGTTCCAACACTGAAAGTTCCAGAAATAAAGGTTTGGCACTCAAGGCCGAAGACTAAGAAGGATCAGATGTTGATGAAGAAGAGATGGCTATGCTAGTGAGGAAATTTAAGAAAATGATGAACAATAGGAAGTTTGACAGGAACAAGAAGTATACAAGTTCCAGAAACACAACGTGTTTCAAGTGTGGATCAAAGGATCATTTTATCAAAGATTGTCCTATTCAGGATAGAGAGAAAGGAAAGACTAAAGGCAAGGAGCAATCCAAGGAGTCAAGAGTCTACAAGCCTTACTTCACCAAGGACAACGTTAAGAAAGCCATGCTTGCTGCTTGGGGAGATACAGATTCAGAAGAAGAAGAGGAGGATCAACCATCAGAAGAAACTGCTCATTTATGTCTAATGCCAAAAACTGATGAAGCTGCCAAACTGAAGGAGCTTGAGTATGAGGTATGGTTCTCTTACAATCAATTAAAACATCTGTCTAAAGAGAATCTAATAGATACTGTTTTGGAAATACAAGAAGATCTAAAAGAATTGCATAAATCCAAACATCTAAGTGATAAAGCTTTGATAACTTACAAGGAGAACAGTGAATGGGTTGATAACATGAAATTTAACATTCAATACAGGTTCTTCAGTCTGTTTGATGACAATAAAATTCTAAAAGAAACTATAGAGAACTTAAAACAAGATAACATACTCTTGAATGTGGAATTGTCTTTGTTAAAACTGAGTGTTGATACTCCTAACTCTGAAGTTCCTCCACCGACTGATTATCCGACTTTTGAAAAATTGAAACATGATTTGGAAGAGTTAAAAATGGATAAGGCACGTCTTGAGGGGGAACTTGAGAGGGCTAGGAAAGGTAAACAACCAATAGAGTATAGAGTTCCTGATTGGATCACTAAGGCTCAAACTAAGAATACTGAAGGTTTAGGTTTTAAAAAGAAGTTCCAGAAAGAAAAGAAGTATGTCAACTTGCCCAGTAGCATTGTTTGTTATTTCCGTGGCAATACAGGGCATAAGCAAGCTAAGTGTCCTAAGAAAGAACAAAGCACTCAGAAGAATATCAAACATGTAAAACAAATCTGGGTAAAGAAAAATGAATCAACCCATGTTACACAGGAACCCAAGGAAACCTGGGTTCCTGACTCTAATGTTTAAATTCTTCTTGCAGGTTCCAGTGAGGGGGAACAACACTTGGTACCTTGACAGTGGTTGTTCTAAGCACATGACTGGAGATAAAACTAGATTTCTCTCACTGGATGCCTACTATGGTGGAACTGTGACCTTTGGTGATAACATGAAAGGTGATATAATTGCTATTGGCAAGATAGGAAAGTCACGTTCCCATGCTATTGATAATGTATTTTTGGTCGAGGGCCTCAAGCACAATTTGTTAAGTATTTCTCAGTTTTGTGACAAAGGTAACTCTGTTAGCTTTACTTCAAATAAATGTAGAATCATCCACAATGACACTGGGAACATTATTTTAGAAGGAACTCGAAAAGGGAACACATATGTTGTGGATCTTAATGAGGTTCCTAACAGTAGTTTAACATGTCTTAGTGTTATTGAGGATGATCCTCTTTTATGACACAAAAGATTTGGCCATGCAAGCTTTTCTTTACTGGATAAATTAAGATCTAAGAACTTAGTGGAAGGACTTCCTTGCATTAAGTTCCTGTATGACAAAGTGTGTGAAGCTTGTGCTAAAGGTAAACAGACCCGAATTTCTTTCAAGTCCAAAAAGATGGTAAGTACCAAAAGACCTTTGGAACTCATTCATATGGATCTCTGTGGTCCAATGAGAACCCAAAGTAGAAGTGGTAAGAAATATGTAATGGTTATTGTTGATGATTTTTCAAGGTTCACTTGGGTTTTCTTTCTTGTAAGTAAGGATGAAACGTTTGACGAGTTTGTTTCCTCTGAAGAATCCCAAAGTCCAGAAAACTCAATTCAGGAAGAATCATCTCCTTTAGCCATGGTAAACTACAAAGCATCTTCTACCTCTCGAACACCTTCTGAAAACCCTAAGAAATCTCCTCCAAAACCAAAAGAAGTAGAGAGTACAATCGATCAAGGGGACTCCTCTGTCTCGAATGTTCTTCAAAAATTAAAGGAGTGGAAGGAAAGAAAACAAAATGTGAAGTCTCTGGAAGAGCAAATTGAGGAAGTTGATGAATTTGCAAAAGAGAAGAACCCGGAAGGGACAACAGAGGAAGAATAGAGAAGAAGAGGAAATAAGCGAGGGAGAAGAGGAAGAAAAAGAAGAGGAGAACAACTCAGAAAAGGAAGAATTGGAAAAGGAAGATGAAGAAGAGG